CTCAGCGTGAGACCTTGTAGACCCTGCGGACCATGTAGACCCTGCCCTAAAATACAGGGGAAAAAAAAACCTTGGGAACATTATGCTAAAGAAACCTTAGAATAAAACACTAAAAAGCATGAGGTTATTTACCATAAAGCCTCAGTATTTTTTTTTTAAAGAGAAAAATTGCGAGTTTTTTTGTTTATTTTTGGCACAGTGCTAAGGACTGAACCCAGCACCTTGTGCATGCTAGGCAAGCACTCTAGTAATGAGTACAACCTTTGTCTTCACTCTTGTTTAAGTGGGTAGTCTTTACTGAGGTTCAGGTTTTTGTTGCCCTATGTAGTCTTGTACTTCATGTGCAATTGTGTGTTTGTTTTTAACATTAGGAACAGGTTATTTTCATTATTTTTGCATATATATTTGGTTAAAATTCATTGCACACTGTAGGTTTACCTCTGAGTATTTTGATTTGAATTGTGAAACGTGTGCCATGTGACAAGCTGGACTTACTGGTTTACTTTCTGGTGGTTGGTACCCTACTTTCTTGACTGTACCTGTGAATGGTGCCTAGTAGTCAATTCTGCTACCAGAGAATGGAAACATCTTAATGTACTGGATTAGAGTATCCAGGCCTGTCTTTAGAAGGATGCTATTTCCTTTTTTACTTCAGACTGTGTTTGCAACATTCTTTGGGTCTAGACAGTATAAACTACTTTATCAAGGCTCTTCAGTTTCCCAAACTGGACCTAGAAATTCACTGATTTTTTTAACTAAAAATATCCTTGGTCCTTCTAAATATACCTGCCTGGTTGTTCTTAACATTTTGCTTGTAATAGAAAGCAAAAATGTAGTGTGGAGATATACTTATATATGCCATTAAGACTTAGGTGTGGTGGCCCATACCTATAACTCCCCACAGTAGGGAAGCTGAGTCAGGAGGATCACCTTAAGTTTGAGGCCAGCCTGTACTACATAATGAGTTCAAGATCAGCATAAGGACTGAGGAGATAGCTCAGTGGTCTAAGCACCTCCTTGGCAAGCACAAGGACCCAAGTTTGATCCCTGGTACTGCATGCTGTTCCAGTCCCAGAACCCTGGGTGCACCCAGCTGGATCCAAAATCAGGCATGATGGCACGTGCCTATAATCTCAGCCCTGAGTAGGCTGGAACAGGAAGATCACTATGAGTCTGAAGATCACTATGATCTTCACTATGCAGTGAAGATCACTGCATAGTGAGTCCCTGTATCAAATAAATAAATAATTGTTTTTTTAAAAAAGACCAACATAAATGATACAGCAAGACTCTGTCAAAAAAACAAACCAGGAGCCGGGGAGATGGCTCAGTGGAATAAGTGCTTCCCTGGCAAGTGCAACATCCTGAGTTCAATCCCCGGCACCATACACACACACACACACAAAA